TAACTAGCGGTTGACAAGCATAAATAGTTAGTTCAGTTTCAATTTCCTTTGGTTGTAATAAGGAGGTCAGTAAAGCAGTAGTGGCAACAGCGACAGCAGTAACAGCAAGCATTGCAATCCCATGGTAGTCCCAGCTATCAAAGTTTCCCGAACTACATTTGAGCTGATTCCTGTTCAGCCCAGGATATGTAGGAAATCTTTGAAGCAAGATTCGGTCAAATCTTTCAAAATGTGCTTCACACGGAGTAGTCCAACGGACAAAAAACGCTCATATCCGCTCACTTTATCTTTGCACGAAAACCTCGCATGTTTTCGAACAAATAGGGGAAGCTGTGAGCATGTGATTTTTGTCTACGCAACAATTGCTCCAAAAGAAATCGAAAAATAAAAACAAATGGTTTTGTTGTACAATTCTTTGGAATTTATGTGGCATTTTTTGGTAGTTATTTTATCTGTGATTGTTTTAGTTTTGTCAAATAAAAATATTAAAAATATTTGTCGCGTGTAAGTTTAGGATATTGTTCTACTATTAGGAATTAATCAAACCATAATTTGGTTTTAAGGGAAAATCACAAAAAATATGCATCTTTTATTCTATCTGTTGTCATTAAGTGATTTTATTTTATTTAAATGTTTAATGTGTGTGATAATTATTGTTTAAGTAGTAATCAATATTTGTATAAGTTTTATTTTGATTTTACAACTTAGTTAGGAATTTTGTTTAAATTAGAAATTAAAAGAAGGAAAAGAAAAGAGTTTAAATTGGAGAAAATCCGGATTTGGGCTCAAATTTGAAACCAAAAATCAGGCCCAAATCATTTCATGACCCAGTCCGGTTCCCTGGTCTCTATGGCCTCACCAAACGACGTCGTTTAAGGCCTATCGGATCTGGACCGTTGATCAAACATATCTAACGGTCCAATTCAACTCCCATTTTAAAACCAAACGACGCCGTATAGGAGTTTCAATCGAAGCCGTCCATTTTGTTCAATCCTACGGTCCCCAACACGCCTCATTAGCCCGACCCATTCCCGCCAAAAACCGACCCAGTCCCCTCTGGGACCAAACGTCGTCGTTCCCCCTAAACGAAAGATCATGTCCGTCAACCACACTTCATCCGACGGTCAGGATCAAACCACCCACCCCATATATAAATCTAAAGCCTACCCCAGCCCCCAAACCAAGCACCCCCCCCTTTCTCTCACTATTCCTCCGTCTCTCTCATTCAAAGACGGACCTAGGTTTAAACCCTAGCCGCCTTAGTCCCCTTCCGTTTGAAACCCGGCGGCATCAATGCCGCCGGCCACCATCTTAACATCCTAGGACCACTCAACCACCCTGAATCCGAATCCACAAACCTTTTGGCTCGAATCAATTCCTAGATTCTCGAATCTACATAAAAAGAGAGCTAGTTGTGGTGAGAGCATTTTTTCAGTCTAGGGAGGTTTTAAATTGGGTTTCTTGGTTTAAAAGTCAGAAGTCAGTTTTTAAATTCAGTTTCAAAACTGAATTTCAACTCCAGCATCTCTTAAAAGAACAAAAGCATAGTTTGAAATAGGCAATCATGTCCAGTGTTTGAAGTTTTGAAGTTATTGGACTCATTTGAACATTAGTAGATTCTTCTCTGCGATCTGTTGTTTCTGGTCCATATTTCGATTTCCTGGGCTTTGGTCGTGTTGTTGTTGGTTTGTTGTTGTTTGTTGCTTGATTTCTTCTGAAATTGCCACTGGATTCTGGGTTTATTGTTTGGTTTAATCTACTGGTTGCTGTTGGCATTTGCTAATTGCTACTGCTTGTTACTGCTGTTGTTGCTGCTGCCATTTTGCTGCTGCTGATTTTTCTGCTTTCTTCTTCTTGTTGTTGTGTTTCAACATCCAGGTACATACCTCGAATTACCTTGATGTAACTTGAATTGAAGTTGAAACAGGATTATGCAGCGAATCTGTACATGTGGATGTTATTTATCGCCTTCAATTTCATAAATGTTAAACGAAGTAGATTCATCTAATATTAGTTCTGTTTTTTTTTTATATTTTTGTATGAATACTGGAAACATGACTGTATAATTGAAACTGTTAGGTGTGTAGATTTCTGTGACAGAAATTTAAATTATGTAGATAGTTTATAAAGGTCATATCCCGTAGTTGTTGATTTGAAAAATAAACCTGTTGACGTAAACTAGTAGGATATTAAGCGAGTAATTTCGCAGAATCGTTAAGTCTGTCGTATTTGAAGTTTGATTCGATGTAGTAAGGCTAAGGTTATGAACTTAATAGCATGGGTTGATTTCGAACCAGGTTTGACAGAGTTCTTTCAAAGGCAATAGATTTTCAAAGTGTCGATTAAGTTTAACAACTTTCGAATATGTTGGTAGTCAAGTTTGGCCCATTTTCAAATAATAAAAATTAGTTCCAATGGTTCAATTTATCTAATAATGTGAGGTTTAAATTAGTTAAAGAATAATTGGTTTGTTTTGACGATAGCGCTTGTCAATTCTATATCTTATTTATAATTTTATTTTTCTTTTAGTAATGTTCAATTATAGAATAAGGCATGAAACAATTTTCTTTTGAGTAAATTCGATTGCGATTTTGCGTTTAGCATTTTTGTAACCCAATAATTGATAAAAGGCTCAAACTTGCCGAGCTCGTAATTTAATTAGCGTATATTTTTCTTTCTTTCATTTTAGAGACAAACATAATAGAAAAATGTAGTCGCTGTAGGTTTATCCTTTCAAAAATGAGACGAGCCTCGCCAAATAAAAATGCAAATTGCG